AGGTCCCGTCCCACTTGGGTGTTCCCTGAGACAGCGTGTTGATGAAGACAGGGGGCTTCTGAACCAGAGACACCCGAACCTGAATCCCAGCTTGGCCTCCTCCTTGGAGTGTGATCTTGGGCAAGTTAGGCAGCTCTCCGCCCCACTGTCTTCATCGGTACATGGGGACTGATCCTAGTCCCTTTCAGGAAGTTGGGAAAGGAAACAGGGTCATTGTTGTGGGGAGTTCAGTGCCTGTGAGATAGCACCTGGCCTACAGTTAAGTACCTGTGACACAGCACCTGGCCTACAGTTAAGTACCTGTGACACAGCACCTGGCCTATAGTTAAGTACCTGTGACACAGCACCTGGCCGGCTACAGTTAAGTCCCCAGTAAAAATGCTAGCTATGACTTTTTAGAGTTATTATTATTTTTTAGTTTTTAGTTTATCGGGGGCTCTTACTGCTCTTATCACAATTCAAACATATATCCATTATGTCAAACACATCTGTATATATTTTAATAGAGTTATTACTGTTTCATTGTTAGCACTCCCTGCCAGATGCATTCTTTTTTTGTATAAATGTCCCTGGGGCCCCCAACTTCAACCAGAAGTTGCCACACTGTGGCCTGTGCCCACTCAAGGTGTCCCGGGTGAGAGCAGGGCATTCCTGGCTGCCCACAGACACGGGTGGATTGGGGAGTGGTGGGCAGCCAGGCTGCTGTTTGCATATCAATCCTGGACAAATCCACACAGAGACTGCTTCCCCAGGGCAAAGACAGCCCTGTGGCCTGCCTGTTCACAACACAGTGTCTTCGCATTTGCTCAGCCTGAACGGGCTCCAGGTCCCCTCTGTCTCTACGCTGAAAGCGGGGAGTCCCGTTCATGCTTCCATTTCCCACTCTGGAAAAAGCGCAGGGAAGGCAGCCTGGCAGACTCCAGGTGGGGGCGTTTGAAGCCGCTCCTCGGGATCACACGCCTCACTTGGGGCTGATACCTGGCTTTCCTCCCTGGCCTGAAGGAAACCCTGGGATGGGCTCCAACAGTCACATGAAGCCTGGAGAGGGTGGCTGTGGCTGAATCGGATCCCCTCTTTGGGGCATCTGGAACCTGAGCTGGCCAGCGAGCCGGATACCACACCTGAGCAGGATGACATCCCAGCCATCTGCCCTCAGCCCATCCGCTGGCACAGACATGGTGCTCTTAGCCTGCCCGGCTGCAGACACGGGGGTTGGGGATGGGGGGCGGGGAACAGCTCCCCAGCCCTCAGAGGCAGCTCGGAGGTGATGAGTGGTCTGATCAGGAGTGGGTTCAAACCCTGCCTCTGCTGTTTACCTGGTTCCTTTACTCCCCCCGGAGCCTGCAACCTCACCTGTCAAAGGAACCAATTGCAGCACCCTCTGACCAGTACGAGGCGGACCGAGCCAGGCACTGCAAGGGAGTATCGCTCTCAGCTGGGCCCCAGGCCCTGGGCAAGGCCTCAGAAGCCCCAAACCCCTCGGCGATGGGTGCTCCGCCCTTCCCTTGGCTCTGAGGCCCAAGTGCCCAGCAGGGCAGCTGGCACAAGATGGAAAACATGCTGCCACGCGCAGTGGCAGGCACTTTTGGCTCAGCATCCCTAACCCTTCCAATGCCTGTTCCAGGATTGTCCTATTTGTCCCATTTTACAGATGAGTACGTGGAGCGGGCAGCTCACAGATCAGAAGTGACTCATCCAAGGACATGCAGTTTCTGCATGACGCTGCCAGGATCAGACTCCAGCTGGGAGACCTGGAGCCCCAAGCAATTCTGCCTGGCCAGTCAGGGAAAGCTTCAGGGAGGAAGCGATATCTAAACAGAGCTTTGGAATAGAAATAGGTCTCGCCTAGGCTGGGACTCTCAACTGGGGGATGATTTTGACCCCAGGGGGGTACCGTAATTTAGCAATGTTTGGAAACAATATTGGTTGCCATAGCCATAGCTCCTGAGGGGACAGGGGAGTCAGTGCTACTGGTATGTAGTGACCAGAGGCCAGGGACTCTGCTAAACACACCCTACAGTGCAGAGAAGAGCCCTACAACCACTGTTTAAGGACCTATCCCCAAATGTCTATGGTACCGAGTCTGCCGGCTGTCAATTACCGAACACTTGCAAGGTGCCAAGTGCAGAACCACATTCTTCCTGAGCCTTCTCATTTATCCTAACCCCATTGTTCCTGTGGCTGATAACCAGGGACCTGCGGCTGAGGGATGGCAACTTCCTTAAGGTCCCACAGCCAGCCAGTAAATACAGAGCCAGCATGGGAACTGCCTGAGGACAAGTCCCGAGCTCTCAACCCTGCTGCTCTGCTGCCTCCAGATTAATACTAAATATCCAAACTCCAGGCCAACTCTCAGGAGACTCCAGGGCAAGTCCTGGCCGGCCTCTTCTGAGCCCTTCCCTTCCTCACTGCCCTGTCCCATCTGTCAAGTGAGGGCCACCCCAGACGATCCCCAAGGTCCTGCCAAACCAGAGTCCATCGCTCTCCAGGCTCCTGGAGGCCCTGGGGCAGACCCACCAGCTGCTGGGGGAGAAGGTGTGAGGGGTGGGCTCAGCCTCATTCCCACTGCAGAAATTGGAAGAGAGGTGGAGTGGGAGGTGGCTCACACCTCACCCCAGAGCCTTATCCCTTCCAGAGGGAGACACGTTTCTCAGCCACTTCTGTGCCACGCCCGGTGCCTTGGGGGCTGCCTCCGGGAAAAGAGGCAGGTCTGGCACCTGTCTATCCAGCTGGGCACATGAGCTCTCCCAGGTAGAATGAGAACGGAAGGGAACCCAGGCGGGACCCAGCACCTCCACCATGTCAGCAGCCCGATGTTCCTGGCCGGGGGAGGAATCATCAAGACACCCATTTAACAGATGTGCACAGCAAGGCTTATAGGCGGCAGGCAGCGACCTGCTGGATGACACACAGTGATAAAGGAACCCAGGTATATCTGAGCCCAGAGCCAGGGCACCAGAGGGAGAATGGCAATCCCAGGACAAGGAAACATTGTGTCAATAACGTTTGGAGAAAATATATGCTCCATCCCTCTTGCATTCCCCAGGATATGGCATGGAGTGTAAAAACAAAACACCCAGACACAGTAACTCAGGTTTCCTGCTCCCAAGGCTCCCAATTCTTATAAAGTCAAGGCAGGGCAAGGAGAGGGGAGTGGTAGGGGAGAGTTCTGGCCTGGGTGGCACTGTAGGTTAGGTGTGGTCAGCAATTCAAACCCACCAGCTCCTTTACAGGAGAAAGAGGCTCTCTGCACCTGTACAGATTGACAGTCTCTGAAACCCGATTTAGGGTCTCAAAGAGTATAATAGATTCAACACGATTGAGTCTGCTTAAGCATCTTGAAGAGTGGAGAACCACCTACCTACTATGTTGGCCCACCTCATTTTCATAAAATATTTGAGCCAAAGACATCTGCTTCAAAATGTCCACAATCCTGACCAGCTCAGGCCAGGGTAGGTCATTCATTAATTTATTCATTCAGTAAACCTTTATCAGTGTGCACTGTGGGCCTGGCCTGTGCCAGGCTCTGGGGGTCACAGATAGACTAAAGATGAGACTTTCTCTGTCCTGGTGGCCCTGGGTCCTATTCTGGTATCCCATGGGCATGGATGCTAGAGTTAAACAGGGTAACCAAGGGATGAATAAACTCTATAGCAACAGGTTTGGTAGGTTTGAGTAAGCTTGAGAAAAAAGATTCCAAGCTCAAATAAGCTTGGGAACTATTATATTAAATGCAATTAAATGGGTTTCTTTGCTGGAAAATGTCTCCAAACCTCTAATATGCAAATGAATGCTGAGAGTCTTCCAATGGGGTGTAAGCAATTACTGTAGTTCCCACTTGTAGATGATCTTGGAACTCTCCTCATTAAAATGTCAGATGTATTAATAGAGAGCATTTGGGGAAACACGGCTCGGATGCTATTTGTTTGGCCAGAGGAGCTCACGAAGCCTTCGTAGAGAGAACATTTGAACAGGGCCTTGAGGGTTGAATAGGAGATCTTAAGAGAGACCCATTACAACCCTGTGCCAATATTTCTCTGGTTTCTCTACATGTACTGTTTAACTTAGTCCTCAAAGGTCCTGCTCTGGGTGATAGAGCTGGGAGGTCATCAAAAACCCCTAGAAACTCCTGGAGAGGGGTGAGGTGTCACTTCTGAGCCTTATCACCCCAACCTTAAATCTTCAAGTTCGAATCCTGTTCTCAAACTGGCCCCTTTGGGGTTTAAACTCCACATGGTTTTTACACCCTTGGTACTTGATCCCAGCCTTAAAACATTAACAAAACAAACCCAAACCCCTTATATACCTTGGCACCCAGACCCTCCTTCTTAGCAGTTTCCTGATCCCCAACTTAGACCCCTCTCTCAAGTTTAACTCTGACCCCTGATTAGACCCTCTTTCAAGTATTACCCTTAGACCTTCTCTCAAGTTTAACCCTGACCCCCTAACTTAGACCCCTTTCAAGCTTAACCCTGACCCAGCCCAGCCCAACCTGGACCTGCCCCCAGGTCTGCTAGAACCCCACAGCCTGGTTAACCTCAATTCAACTTTGACTGCGGCCGCGACTCAGTCTAAACTCAGTATTCCCAGCTTCATCTCTGAAAGGCAGAGATCTTCAGCTCTGCTCTGAACCACCTGTCCCAGGCTCACCACCCACGACTCCTGGCACTGTTTCTGACCTTAAGCGGCTCTGATTCAGCCCCATCCCCATCCTAACCCAGCCTCTGTTCTGATCTCATTTGCCTCCACGCCCCTCTCCTCAGCAGAGGGTCAGTCCCCACTCCAGGTCAGTCGCAGCCGAGACCCCGCCCCAAGTTCCTGCCCCCTGGCATCGGCCCCGCCCACCACCCCCTATATTAATTCTGATAGGGCCCTGACCCTGGCTGCGGCTCCGCCCCAAGGCAATTCTGACTGGACCGTGCTCGTGGACCAGCTCTGACCACGCCCCCGAGTCGGCCCCGCCCCCAGCCCTAGGCTGGCTGGGCCCCCACCCCCCGCACCTGCAGCTCCTCGAAGGCATCGTCGATGCCGGTGACTTGGTGCTGCTCGTGCAGCGCGGGCTCGTCGCAGAAGAAGCAGAGCAGCGCGCGGTCCGTGAGACAGAAGAGTTTGACCTTGTCGTGCGCCTGGCAGGGTCGCGCGGCGCGGCGCGCGTTGAGGATGGCGTCCAGCGGGAAGGCGCTGTAGCGCTCCACGATGTTGGCCAGCTTGAGGCTGGGCGCGAGCGCGGGCTCGGCGAACGTGCGCCGGCACTCGGGGCAGTCGCGGGCGCCCTGCGCCTCCTGCCGCACCCAGTGCTCGGTGATGCAGCGGCGGCAGAAGTAGTGCTCGCAGCCCAGGCTCACCGGGTCCTGGTAGATGCTCAGGCAGATGGAGCAGAGCAGCTCATCCTTGAGGCTGCACGCCATGGCGCCCGGGGCGGCGGCGCGGGGGGCCCGAGAGGCTGGGGGGCGGCCGGGAGCGCGCGGCGTTGACAGGGGCAGCACTGAGGGATGGGTGCGGGGACGAAGCCCGGCGAGGCTGGGGTAGGAGCCACCGGGGATGGAAAGGGGTACTGTCCGGCAGGGAGGTAACGCGGGGAAAGAGGTGCGGGGGGCAGCGGCTACCCGGGATGTGAGCCCGGGAGGGTGGTCTCGAGGTAGGGGGTAACCCAGCGCGATGGGTGCTGGAGGGAGAGGGCCGTGGGTGTCCGAAGGGAAGAGATCCGGACGTGGAGGTTCTAGAGGAGGGGACAGTCCGGAGGGATGGGTGCTGGGAGAAGGGGGTGCAGAAGGGGGGCGGAAGCCTTGGGGGGCTTGAAGTCCCAGGGTGGGGGCTGCCGGGGGAGGTGGGGAAGACCGAGGTGGGCGATGGTGGAAGAAGAGGAAGGCAGGCCAAGCCGCCCGGCGGCTGTGTCGGGCAGAGGAGAGGAGGGGTGCGGGTCCACTCCGTGGCCCGATCCCAGCCCCAAGCCCGGGCCTCGAGCGGCCCCTTACCGTGGCCGGCTCAGCTGCCACCGCTCCGGTCCCAGCGCAGCCACCCAAACCGGAACCAGCCGAGCCCGAGCAGCCGGCCGGCGCGGCGCCCTCCCCGCCCCTGTGGGCGGGACCCGCGAGACTCCGCCCCCGCGGCGGGTGGGGGAGAAGGGGGCGGGCCTCCAGCTTGAGGGACGGACGTCCTCCTGTCTCCGCCCCCATCCAGCTTTCCGCACCCCAGGGAGCGAAACCCAGCTGCGAGCAGCACTCTGGACCCAGCTGTGGGTGGGGGTCTGCTAGTGTGAGGAGACAGGTAACAAGAACACTGGTCCTGGATTATTGCTTTGAAGACGTGGGGAAAGTAATATTTTGTATCGAAACAAACAAGGATGCGTTGTGTAGGTTATGTGGACTACGTTTGCATAAAATATACCGATAAAACTCGAGAAATGCTTGCCGTGAGCAAATTCAAGTCCCTTTACATTCCTGGCTTAGTATCCCATTTCCTCTTCCCTTCCATCAAGGGTTCTTAATGTCCGACTGGAGAAAGGAGTCTCTTCCGTTTGGCCAACCTGGCTGGGGTCGGGAGTGCTAGGTTTCTGTGGCAGTGGGAGGAGGCGGCGGCGGGTGCAGCAGGAGGGAGGAAGAGTAATAGGAGACCTTGTTTTGTGTGCCAGATGGAGAGGGGATAAGGGATTTCTAGGTGGAGAGGCAGCATGTGCAAACGCATAGGAGCGTGAAAGGGGAGGACACATATGGGGGGAGTGTGAATCGTTCTATTCTATTGGGGGTGGGAAAGGGTTTGGAGTGAGATGGAAAGCCTCGGGGATCATAGTTTACAATTTCCTGGAGCCACTGGGCTTCCAAGAAAGTCGGCTTTGAGTTTCACGAGGTCACAGAAACGCTGATTTTGCTTCCCGCAAGGTGAAGGCCGGGATCCTTTCTGATGTGTCTGCATATGTGAAGTGCTGGGCACACAAGGAGGACGGATTCGGTGCTGCTGAATCACAGCCGAGAAGATGTGGACCGGAGGAGGAGAGATTAGCTACACGTTGGGTTCTTGTGCCAGGCCCTGCAGGAAGTGAGAACTGAACTGGGAGGTGACACTAGGTAGGATAGGACGACTGGGCAGGGTGTGGAAGGCTGAGACACCATACAATTTAGTGATGGGTTGATACAGGGTGAAAGAAAGGGCAGCGTTGTGGGTGGCTCCCCACTTTCTGCTTCCTCCAGAGATATCTTTGTTGAGACACAATTTAAGAAACAGTACAAGTTTTAGTCTTCTGTGGTTTACATGTTCGCTATCACATCTCCATCCTCGCCGGAAACAAGGTGGTGGGTGAACTTCAATAGCTCTTCGCCTACATTCCCGTAGTTGCAGCCCTGATTTTGTTCCGTTGTCCCTCTCCTTCATGAGACTGGCAAGAAAGCAGACCCCAACCCAGTCCCGGGAGTCAGACCTGTTTGGACCAAGTGCATCTTGGTGATCACCTTCCTCTTGCCGGTGGTGGTTGGCCATGGACATGGGATGCGGATCTGACCTAAAAATCCCGAGGGAGCACCTGGGATGAAGGGGGATGAAGGGAGGGGAGAGGTTCTATGGAGCGGTCTTTCGAAACACTCTGCCCTCCTCTGCTGCGCGTGGATGTGTGTGGTAGTGCTGTTGGCGAAGATTCCATGGTGTGCAGCCTGGAGCTGGCCCAAATCTCTGTCCTCAGTGCTAGCCAGTGCTCCTTATAAACGGTCCCTCTGCCCCATTCTCTTAAGTCATTGCTTCTCTCCTCCCCACTGAGACACCCTGCTCCTCTCAGTGGGTGACCCTGCCTCCTACTCCAACCAGAAAGCAGAGCCTCTCCAGGGGTCTTCTCAGCTTCCAGTTCTTTTCAGTCTCTGAATTTTGCTATAGAAATGCCTTAAGTCCTTTGTGCAATGAGGCAGAATGTAAAATAAACAAATGGGTGAACTGAATGTGTTTACAACTTCATCTGCCCGCACCCCCTTTCTCCTGGTCTTCAACGATGAAGTGGGCCTTCTGTTCAAAACTCACTCCTCCTCCTGGGGCCTGGCCTAATCCCCCCCCTCCCCCCCAGTACTCCTTGAGACTCCACTCCTTCAATTATCCCCCTTGTCTGTATTGTATGGCTCTTTCTTCATCATCATTGGCTACTTACCTCCAACTTATAAACATGCTCAAATTTCTCTTAAGGCAATACTCTCTAAGCATCACCCCACCACCACCACCACCACCACACACACACACCTTTTATTGCTACCATCTCATTTCTTGCCTTTTTCTGGCTCAGCGTCTTGAAAGAATTGTCTGCGTAGCCTCCCCTGCCATTCATTAGCCCACTGCAGCCTGGCTCAGGTCCCTACCACTCCACTGAACTCACTAATAATCCCCTAATTGCTAATTAAAAATAGCTCCTAATGCACATTTGCTGGTGTCGAAAAACAAAATAAGAGGAAATTTGAAATCCAAAGGAGCTTCAAAAAGTTTGTGGAAAGATGGAATGAAAAGATAACAGAAATTTCCCACGAGCTTTTGAAGCGCCCCAGTATTTATGATTCCACCATAAAGAAAGATCTAGTGTTAATAACTTGGTTTACATCCTTACAGACTGTTCTCACATATAATGTATGCATACCCAACACACACACACACACACACACACACACACACACACACACACACACGCTCGTGCACAGCGGAAGGAAAGAGGTGGGAGAAAGGAAGGGGAAAGAGAGAGATCTTAAAATAAATGTGTTCCCTCCCAGAGTCACTGTGGCCCAGAGCACGGCCTTGAACCACATGTGTCGGAACAGCAGTTCTTCAAGGAGCAGAGCTTGAGATAAGGATTGGAGGGAAAAATCGTTTCTTTAGGAAATTTGAGAAATGCTGTCCGAGAAGTGGGAAATTGATACTGGGTGCAGAAGAGTAGGGTTTCATTATGCTGCGGAATCACTGTGAGGACAACCACAGCAGCAAGGAAGGAAGCCTAGAAAGGTGAACTACTAAGTCAAGGTCACAGAAGACAACTGAAGATTTTCCCTGCAGGAGAGCGCTACCAAATGATACCAAGTGACCCCTCAGGATGATTGCACCCAGAGGACAAGGGAACTGGGGTGTTTATTCACCATCTTTGGAGTATTGTGTCTGCTCCTCAGGGGCATTTGATTGCTGGGGGTATAACCTGGGATGTGCACATAAGTTCCCACAGTTCATGGCTAAAGGTCCATTAGCCATGGATGCAGAGGGTGGCAGTAGAAAGTCTTGGGGTTTGACAAGCTTGAGGGATGAATGTGGGACATTGTGATAGGATCAGGTATCAGGCATCAAAGAACAAAAAAATCATATTGTGAATGAGGGGGAGTGCGGAGTGGAGACCCAATGCCCATCTGTAGGCAACTGGACAACCCCTTACAGAAGGGTCGCATGGAGGAGATGAGCCAGTCAGGGTGCAGTATAGCAATGATGAAACAACTTTCCTCTAGTTCCTAAATGCTCCTCTCCCACCCCTCACCCCCACTATCATGGTCCCAATTCTAACACAGGGAATCCAGGACAGATAAACCCCTCAGGACCAATAATGAGAGTAGCCATACCAGGAGGGGAAGGGGAAGGTGGGGTAGAAAGGGGGAACTGATCACAATGATCTACATATAACCCCCTCCCTGGGGGACGGACAACAGAAAAGTGGGTAAAGGATGACATCCGACAGTATAAGACATGGGAAAATATAATTTATAAATTATCAAGGGGGTGGAGGGAGGGAGGGGAAAAATGAGGAGCTGATACCAAGGGCTCAAGTACAAAGAAAATGTTTTGAGAATGATGATGGCAACAAATGTACAAATGTGCTTGATATAATGGATGGATGGATGAGCCCCTAATAAAATGATTTTAAAAAAAGAAAAGAAAGTGGGACATGACAGTATCCCTCAAAATCTACTCCTTGCACTCACTCATAAACTCCCCCTCTCCCCTCCATTTTAAGTGTGCTTGGTTGTTTTTTCACGGTGGTGAGGAGTCATAATATATTGAAAGATACAGAGGACACAGCAGGTAGGGTGGGGTCGTGGGACAAGATACCCTCACAGGACTCACTGCTGTCGTTGGTCTTAGGCTATAACATACATACTCTCTTCCTTTTTATCCCCCCTTCTGGGTGTGGTGCTGGGTCGGGTTCCGTAGAGAAGCAGAATCAGTCAGACAGACAGATAGGAGGAGGAGAGGTATCATGAAAATGGGCCCTACGTTTATAGACTCGGGCAGGTCCAGTCTGGCTCAGATCTGTGCACGGGTCAGATATGAAGCTGGAGGTCTCTGATCCATGTAGCTGGGGGCAGGGGGCGCATGCGTCAGGAAGCAAGAAGATCACAGGCTGGTGGATGCAGAGACAGATGAATCTAAGGTTATCAGGTCAGGCTTGTTGCTGCAGAATTCAATGAATCCAGGGTTAGCAGGTCACATGACAGGCTGTTGTTGCCTCCCAGGGTCAGCGGGCTGTTGGCGCAAATCCAAAGAATCAGAGGTTGATGAATCACATTCAGGAGCCAGACCCAGCAAGAAGCAAGCTAGCTTTCCCACGGAATCTACTTAGATAGAACTGAGGCCACACCCTTGAGGAAACTACCTTTCCACTGCCTCAGGAATGTGATCTCAGTAAAGAGGCTATATTCCACCCTTAATCTTTTTGTTTCACAGTTTTATTAGCATTTCATCCATATGTCATACAATTAGATAATTCAGTCATATCATGAAGAGTTGTACAATTGTCACCATATTCCATTCTAGAACATTTTCTTCCTTGTAGTCA